GCTTAATTGGCCTCCTGGCCCATTTACTTAATGAAACCATCACACAGTCCACCTGCAAATGCAAATCTTATTAAGTCACTTACCTGGGCAATGGTATTTTGTGGGGCAACACCAGGAATTAAATTCAGGGCCTTCCTACTGAGCTATGCTGCCAGCCCTTAAAATTTATTTTATTTTGACAAGGCCTCAATGCATCACAAAGTTGCCTAAGATGCTCAAACGTGCAGGTGTCCTGCATCAGCCTCCCAGAGTGCTGGCATTTCAGGTGTGTGCCACCACGCCCGGGCTTTTTGTGAGTCCTTATTGTCCATATCAGTGTACTCTTTTAATATTGTAAAAATGGAGCTCATTTACAGTGTAAATACACTGAGCCCCCTTCTATTCCACAGGTCTGCCCGAGCTCGACCCTGCATTTTTGAAGCCATACAAGGCACTTCCGGACGAGTATTCTGCACACGATATATAGAAGAGGGCACAGTCCACACTCGGAAGCATGGCCTTCAACACCCCTCACTGTCAGCCTCATTCTACCACCTTCCCTGCCCACGTCCATTTTCATCAGATTACTGCTCTTTTTTTTTTTTTTGGAACCGGGGATTGAACTCAGGCCCTTGCGCTTGCCAGGGAAGCGCTTATTCCACTTAGCCATCTCCCCGGCCCCTCATTTTTAAATTGTCCTGGTACTTCGCTCACTCCCTCCTGAGAAAACCCTTCCCTCCACCTGCTGCTTCTCCTGTCCATGTCCGGTCTGCACTTCTCTGCTTAAATTTCACTCATCGTTGAAGCTCCAATCCAATGACCTCTTAGTACCTTTCCTATCTGTCTCAGGCTGAAACAATGTTGTTCTCCTCAACACTTTTTTCTGGTACCAGGGATCAAACTCGGGACCATGCACTTGCCAGGCAGGTGCTTATGCTGCTGAGCTATACCCTGGCCCTCCACAACATATTCTAATCACACTATGGGGAGTTACTTGTGGCCTTTGTCAAGACAGTGCGAGTCTGCGTGGAAGAACTCCCCGGAAGAGTGCTGTGTCAGCACACAGGATGGACTGATCAGCAACCAGACAGGAAGTAAATTACTCACTAGAAGAATTATGTTTCTCTCTTCCAGCCCTTTCCCAAAGGTCCTAAAGTCTTCTTCCTACTTCGTCCCTCATTAGTCTTGTTTGAACCACCCCAACTTATGAATAACCAGAATCATGTTTATTTTATTTATTTGTATTTTTTAGTATAGGGCCTCAGAGTCTCATTATGTAGATCGGACTCGTAGTGATCCGCCTGTGTTCAGCCTCCCAAGAGTTGGGATTACAGATCTGCGCCACCACGCCTAGTCTCAATTGCCTTCTCCGTACGGCCAGGACGAGGGGCCGGCACGGCACACCAGGGAACCCAGCCGGCTGCTGCATGTGCCTAAGCAGGAGCTTTAATCCGCTGAGCTGAGGGGCCGGCCCTCAAAGTTGACAAGGATTTTTTTATATTTTATTTTTGCTGGCTCACGCTGTCTTAAGGGCGGGTCTGGTAAGGCATGTGGAGCTGGCGCTTAAACAACTGAGCTAAATCGCAGGCCTTTTTCAAATTTGAGGTTTTTTTTTTTTTTTTTGGCTAGCTCAGGCTGCCTTAAGGGCATGTCATGAGGAGCTGGGGATTGAACCTCGGTTTGCCGCAGCCGGCGTTTAAACAACCCATAAGCCCCCCAGAATCATGTTATTTTCGTATTCATTCATTCATTCATTCATGACCTATTGAGTTCCCACCACGCGCCAGGTAACGTGAGCGTCACCAGAGGTGTATGACCTGTAAACAAGGCAGTAAACCTTCCACACTCTTAGACGGCCGTTAACCGCTTTTTTGCTTTGTCTCCCTAGCTAGACCAGAAGCGCTTTGGAAGCAGTGGAAATCTTATTTACTTTACATTTATTTATTTATTTATTTATTTAACTTTTGTAGTCTTTTCAGCAACTAGCACATCTCAGAAAGTTTCCAGACACTCTTGAAAAGAGTGAGTGAAACACTAGTTTCCACTCCTTCCCCATTCAGAGCTGGTCTTACCTGATACGGTATTAACTAAAGTGAAGGGAGAGAAGTTTCGGCAGTACTCCGGAGAGGAGCTCCTTTGAGAACTGCAGGTGCGAGTTGGACTCTCAGAAAAACAAATCCCAACAGCAAAAAAACCCGGTCTCGCTGGACGTTGCTAGGACGCATTGGTTGCTAAGAGAAAAGAGGCAGGTCCTTGACTGAGATTGACAGAGCATCGCCACCAATACGTATCCACTCCCTAACAGTCTCTTTTGGAACAGGCTGTGATTGGTTACTGTCAGGTGACGTCACGAAAAAGAAACTGGGCTAAGTTTGCAAGGTAGGGAAGGAGTTTCTTTTACCAGGAAAGAGTTTAGTAAGTTAGTTACGCACAGGTAGTGACCCGGTGACCGTTTTGGTCCTTAAAGCCCTAAAGGCAGCTGTCGCCACAAACCGCGGCAGCAAGCTGGAGCACTCCTTGGAATTCGCCCTTAAATTTGGGGATGGCGAGGAAATTGGGTCCGGCCGCCTAGTGGGCGTCCCACAACGGCTAATGTGCTGTTTTCCGCTTGCCGAAATAACCTGAGCGCTTGGCTCAGGCTAGAAGTCTGCATCTCGGGGGAATGGTGTGAATCCCTGAGCAACTCGAAGGATCATTTTATCTATGATTAAGGGCCTCAGGGGACTCGGAGAAACTCAGCTCTGAACGGTTTCCCTCCTTTCTTTTAAAAAATAATTATCACTGTGTAGTTTGCAGCCATGAAGAATTTAATAAACCAATGTGGTTGACGGCTGTAATTGGTCTAAATTAATTCTTTATGTCAACTTTAATGAAACATTTAATTAAAAAAACATTGAATTATAACATACATGAGACTTGATCCTAAGTGAGGATTAAAATTCTATGTAGATCATGTTGATTTTTTTCAAATATTTGAAAGAGTTTATGTTGACAAAAGCAAAATATATATTTACTGTAGAAATCATGAAAAAGAAGAACTACCTAGGAAGAAGTCTTACATACATGTTACAGTAATCTTTTCTTGGGCTCATCACTGTCTGCCACTGAGAGATAGGTTTTCCATTAATCTCAGTTGCTAGTCGTTTAATGCTTTGCACTGTCTTGGTGACACCATACGTATTCTCCTTCGCTTCAAACATCCCCTCTGAAGATATCGTGCCTTTCTTGTGTCAGCCTAATGCATCTCTTTAGCTGTAGACCTGAATTTCCACAGGTCTTTGGGTCTTCCTCACTAGCTGTCCAATTCAGATCCTGGTGCTGAATAGTTACTAAATAAAAATATTGAATGAACAAGCGAATGGAGGAATTACTGTATCGTGGCGGTCACAGCGTAGCAGAGTCAAAGTCAAATCATCCGTTTCAGATATTTTTCAGCTATCTTTCAGAAAGATATTTTTCCTTTATTTCCTCTTAGATAATGACATTACTGTCTGTAAGTTAGCAAAACTAGAAATCTGAGTCATCCCTGACTGGCCTTTTACTGCTCACCCAGCATACTGCTAAATCATATCACTTGTCTTTACTAAGTATCTAATAATGCATCTCCTCTTAGCTACCCTCTGCCTCTCTCTCATATGTTTTGTCTCTCACCTGGAGAGTAACAGCGGCTATTCTATTTTTCCTTAATTTATTTGCTAAGTTACCATGGAATATTCTAAATCAGGATTAAATCCAGGCTTTACCGTGCTTAAATCTCCCTAGTCTGGCATATGAAATCCTGTGCAAACAATTATGAAGGATAACTGAAAATATCTAGAAGGTACTGAGTTATTTTTGTGACCTCATTGCCAGTCTCTTTCTAGGGTAATCCATGTGTGGTCCAGTGTTTATCACCTGAAGGCCTGGAGAACTGAACAGCCTGAAACTTGGGTGGTGGTGGGGCTGAGGATATTAGAAGTAGACTACTGGCCAGAGAAGGTACAGCATGGAACAGATTTCTGCAACTAAAATCTCCTCTGTTTTATATGAGGATATCATGAAGTTTTTAATTATACTGCACAATCTATTCATATTTATTATAATTTTTAAAAGATGCATGCAATCACTACCAACTAAACTGACATAAAAATTAAGTTAAAACAAAGAAACACCAAGCAACTGTGACCTGCCCATCCCTTGGCTTTCCATAGCCCCTAGCTTACTGCTGTTCAGCCCAGGAGTTTGTGGGGCCGGGTGGAGACCAGAGCCCTGGTTACACAGGGCTCCTGACAGGTCCCCCTGTATGCATTTGTACTCACACATGTACAGGCTCGGCCTGATACCTCCACCTCCACTTCCACCTTCCTATGATGCCTCTCTTCATCATAAAATACGCTTTACTTGTGCAAGTCAAATGCTACCGTCTCTGGAAAGTCAGGGATGCACCCAGTAGAGTTAGTCACACTTCCTTCTACTTTTCCATCAACGTAAATGTTACATTGTATGGCAATCCCTTGTTTACGGGGCTGCCTCCCCTTACTGAGTTTAGAGTTGGGATAAACTCTCATTCTTTTACATCTCCAGTAACAGCATCCGATGGACTCAGCCAAATGCATGCTTAAGTATCTGATGGACTTTTATTGAAATCAAACTTAGAAGAACATAACAAAAGCTTCCTTGTGGTCTTCTGAACAATTTGTTTTTCCTTAAAAAATTCATGATCCTTTGCAGTCAGATTGAAGGAAGTAAGGATTAGAACCTTGTGATTTGGAAGAGACACCAGTCCTTCTGTCATCTTTTCTTTAAGTGATACCCCGAGGGAGTGTACTTTTAGAGGAATGAGTCATAAGTCACAACACCAAAAAGTCAGAAATTAAGTGGTTAGTGTTGAGTTATTTCTTCATGGTCCAAATTCATCACTGACTGGTCGTCTGTTCTTTTGTGGGCGTTGTTAGAAGTGAAACATCACCATGGTAGCTACAGGGAATGTAACTTGCCTTATTATTACTTTTTAATTTATATTTTTTATGGATTTGGTACAGGGTCTCTCCATGCAGCACAGACTTGTAGTGATCCTCCTGTTTTCAGCCTCCCCAGCACTGGGATTACAGATGTGCGCCACCATGCCCGGACTCGGTGGCCGGCTCAGTGCACCCTGGGAGCCCTGGGGCAGGGCCGGTGCAGCATGCAGTGCCACAGATTAAACCTTGGTCCCTGTGCTTGCCTAAGCAGGTGCTTAGTCCACTGAGCTATCTCACCAGCACTTGTACCTTGCCTTAAAGTAAAGATATTTAAAAACTGGCTTTGATTTTAGGAAGTGAAGATATAAACGGTCAAGAAGTTATAACTGAAAATACTTCTGTGATTATTTAAGGATATTGTGATACATTTGTTTGGAGTTAGAAAAGATAATTTGATAAATTAGGTACAAACTGGATTTCTAC